TTTCAAAAGACTGAAATCTCATAGAGTGTATTATTGAATCACAGTGGAAATGAATTAGAAATCGAGATTTATGACTTTAAGTAGTTATAGTAAAAAATAAGAATGGTTTTAAACCAATTATCTTAATTTCCACTTTAAGAAGCTAGGAAAAAGAAGAGTGCAGTAAATCTAAAGCAAATAAAAAAAAAAAAAAAGGAAATCATAAAGAATAGAAATCAGTAGGAAAAAGACAAAAAGGGTGATTTTAAATCCTCGTCTGCTAATATCACCTGTGGGACTACTTCTCCCTCTCTCTTGCCCCTCCCTCCCTCCTTCCCTCCATCTCTTTCTGTTTCACTGTCTGTCTAAATATAGTGGTTGGGGGGATACTCTTGCTTTGTTCCTCTCTAGTTTCTTCATTAAGAATAATGTAGGCTTGCCGGGCGTGGTGGCTCAAGCCTGTAATTCCAGCACTTTGGGAGGCCGAGGCGGGTGGATCACGAGGTCAAGAGATCGAGACCATCCTGGTCAACATGGTGAAACCCCGTCTCTACTAAAAATACAAAACATTAGCTGAGCATGGTGGCGCGTGCCTGTAATCCCAGCTACTCAGGAGGCTGAGGCAGGAGAATTGCCTGAACCCAGGAGGCGGAGGTTGCGGTGAGCCGAGATGGCGCCATTGCACTCCAGCCTGGGCAACAAGAGCGAAACTCCGTCAAAAAAAAAAAAAAAAAAGAATAATGTAGGCTTTTAGGGTGATGTAGATGCACTGCCAATTCACTGCATGACCCCCTAAGCAATCACGTAACCTCAACAAGCCTTTGAGTGATGCCAGCTAGGTCTCAGGAAAGCAGATTGTTTGTTTATGCACTAATGTGTTGAGCAATTCACAGCTTCATTCCCTTAGCCATGATGGGGGTGTTATTTCCGAGTATTTGGGGTTCTAACATCTTGGAGAGCCAGAAAGCTATATTTTAATCTGTGAGTAAGCACCACCTAGAGATCTAACGAAGGGCTGCCTGACAGCTGAAGACCAAACCTGGGAACACCAAAGCAGAGCGCTCCTTTCTGTTAAATCTGGGAAGGAATTAGTATTTTAAAAAGAGGCGTGTCTCAGGGGCAGATTACAAGATGAGTTAGGGTTAGAGATGTCTCCTGCATGTTACTTAGCAATAGAAAGTGTTCTACAACTTTGACCTTGTTGAAAGCACTGCAGCAAATGCCTCCCACAGAAGGTGCCTGCTCTGTCCCTGTGGCTCCACCCATCAGGGTAGGTGCTCCAGAAAGTTTAATGAATAAACAGACCCTCTATACTGAGAGACAGGATGAGCTAGAAAAACTAGGTGGAAACGGGGGTGAGAGGGCTGATTGCAGTGGCTCATGCCTGTAATCGCAGCACTTTTGGAGGTGAAGGTGAAAGGACTGTTTGAGCTTAGGAGTTTGAGACCAGCCTGGGCAACATAGTGAGACTCCATCTCTACAAAAAATAAATTAAAAGGTTAGCTAAGTGTGGTGTGTGCCTGTAGTCCTAGCTACTTGGGAGGCTGAGGTGGGAGGATTGCTTGAGCATGGGAGGTCGAGGCTGTAGTGAGCTATGATCATGCCACTGCACTCCAACCTGGGTGATGGAATGAGGACCTGTCTCAAAAAAGAAAGAGAGAGAGAGAGAAAAAAAAAGAGAAAGAAAGGGAAGGAAGGCAAGAAGGAAGGCAGGGAGGAAGGTAGGGAGGGAGGGAGAAATAAAGAAGAAAGAAAGAGGCTGGGCACGGTGGCTCATGCCTGTAATCCTAGCACTTTGGGAGGCTGAGGCAGGTGGATCATCTGAGGTCGGGAGTTCCAGACCAGCCTGACCAACATGGAGAAATCCCATCTCTACTAAAAATACAAAATTAGCCGGGTATGATGGTGCATGCCTGTAATCCCAGCTACTCAGGAGGCTAAGGCAGGAGAATCACTTGAGCCTGGGAGGCTGATATTGTGGTGAGCTGAGATGGTGCCTTTGCACTCCGGCCTGGGCAACAAGAGTGAAACTCCATCTAAAAAAGAAGAAAGAAAGTAAGAAAATAGAAATAAATAAGTAAATAAATAAATGTGGATGAGATATGACCACAGAACTATGATAGCTCATGAAGAGAAACAGGGATGTTTCAATAGCATTTAATGAAAGAACGTGAGCCTTGAAGTTAGGCCCACTTTGGGGGTTATATTGCGTTCCCTCCAATGTGCCTCATAAGTTCAGGGAGGCCATGAAAACCACTTCTGGGGCTGTGAGAAGCAGAGATAGCATCTTCAAGATCCCAGCCCAGTCCCTGGCACCCAGGGTGTGCCCATGTAATGATCTTTGTGATGCAGTGGGAGCAGCTCGACTCAAGCTTCCTGCAGAGTGTGTCTCACAGTAACGGCAGACACTGGGCCCCTTCTGAGAGGAACGGGGTTCTGAGCCATGAAAAAATGCACTGCTCTGCTTTTCCCTGCAGAACTTATCTCCTCAGAATTTCCCTCTTGCTGCCCGTATTCAGAGTTTCTGCCAGACTTGGCTGAAGTCTGGGGAGGTAATGGGCTAGGACTGGGATGCGGCCCAATAACCTGTGCACCATGGGAAACCCAGCAACCCTAAACTCCCTGCAGGTCTCTATGAAAGGAGTTGATTGGTGTGAACACATCGGAATCAGGAGTTTACTCGGGTACAGGACGAAGCTGATCATTCCTAGCATCACTGCACTGAACATGGGCAGCAGCTTCAGGTACCTGCACAGGAGGCAGCTGCCTTTCATGTGAGCCATGCTCTTCCCTGCCAGGCAGCGCTGGACAGAAACCTGCCAAGGAAACACAGGTGGGCAAGGCGGGTGAGGTGGGCAAGGCGGGTGTGGTGGGTGAGGGCTTTAGCAGGTTGGAGAGCCTCAGCACAGGTAGGACAACTGCGTGACCTGCTGCAGCAGTGGGACGTGCCCTCTGGTAGCTTCTTGCCAAGCTGAGCACCCCTCGTCCAGGCACCTCTAGGGCATCCACATCCAGGGTCACTTGTGTGAACAAGCAGCATGTTTTGCCCAGTGTATAGCCGCCAGGGGAGACTGGGATGGTACTGGTGACCTTGGCCTCATTGCTAGTGACATAAACCAGTCCAGTTGGGGCTTACAAGCTTGCGGGGCTTACAAGCACTCCCCTGGCGAGAATGAGCCTCCATCCTAGAGGCCATGGACCATCTCTGCCATGCAGAAAGAAGAGGCTCCTACGACATCGGTCAAGGTGAAGATGGCCCCTGGTAATAAATGAGTGTTCAGAAGACCAACGTCATTCATCTAAACTGAAAGGAACTACTGAAGACCTGTAAAACACAAAACTCTCCCAGGAGATGTGGCAGGATCCATTTCATGGCGCTAGTGCCTTGAGAGGTAGTTTGCACTCAGGCCGGACTCAGTGATGCTGGTGAGTGGAGAGAGAAGCACTTAATAAAGAAGAAAGACGTGTGCATCAAAACAATGCACTAAAAATTATGCTCTTGAAGAGCATTTAAATATTGTGAACCAATGCCCATAGTGTGATTGCGACTAAAAGGCAAGGATAGAGAATAATGCGAACACTGTTACTCTCTACCTAGAAAGAAGTCCACAGGAATAAGGCCAGGTGTCGTGGCTCATGCCTGTAATCCCAGCACTTTGGGAGGCTGAGGTGGGAGGATCATGAGGTCAGCAGATCAAGACCATTCTGGCTAACACAGTGAAACCCTGTCTCTACTAAATATACAAAAGATTAGCCGGGCATGGTGGCCGGGCATGGTGGTGCATGCCTGTAGTTGCAGCTACTTGGGAGGCTGAGCCAGGAGAATCGCCTGAACCCAAGAGGCGGAGGTTGCAGGGAGCTGAGATTGTGCCATTGCACTCTAGCCTGGGTGACAGAGCGAGACTCCTTCTCAAAAAAAAAAAAAAAAAAAAAAAATGTCCACAGGAATAAACATGATAATAGTGGTAATCAAGGTGTGGGAGGGCTAACAAATAGGACTTGCATTTTCTTCTTTACATTTCCTTTACTTTCTACCTGCATGACTTTAACAATGGAGGAAGAACCCAAGGGTAATCCTGCCCCATGCAACAGGTACTGATCCTCGGGGGTTTCCTGGACATCCTGTTCCTGGACTCTTCGTGTACGTGGGCCACTGCTAAGCAGGTGGGGGGACAGACATGTTGCATCTTCTGGTCTTTGCTTAGCCCTGGGCACAGAGGAGATAGTCTCCATGGAAGGGATGAAGGAGCAGGGCCAGGGCAGAAATGCACCTTTCATTTTGAGGAAAGGGTGACATAAGGACACAAAATCATTCAACATAGAACATCCTAAGCACTTTAGCATATCATCACATGTCACAAAGCATGAGAAGAGAAGGGCCAAAGGTGAACAATTTTCCTTCTGTCAGTTTATTTGCTTCTTTTTAAATTAAAATCTCAGCTTGAATTATTTCCTTTACTAGTTAGGAAGTTATATACTCTACTTGTATGCTTTTACTAACTACTCTTACAATTTTAATATGGATGCAAGTTAAAGTCTGACATAAATCAATATCCCCACGGTTTTCCTGTCCATAGATTTAATTCCAAACTGTGGTCCAATATTTTGGTGTTGTCTTGTGCCTGGCTTCCTGTGCTAGTAATAATTAATGTTTGTAGCCAGTGCTTTAGATTTACTCATGAGCCTGTCAATTTATCTGCAGACTGTTCTTCCTCACTCTTTAGTGCTTTCTTTTTCTATATATCCATCCTTCAGTCTTCCTTTGGGGAAGGATATGCATTTATTTTGCCCTTGGTTTGGGGTAGCACCTTAACTGGGTGTGTAATTTGAAACAGAGTTCCCCCAGTATTTTGAAGCACATTCTACTCTACCTTTTGATGTACATTGTTGCTACTGAGAGGTCTGTTGTTAGCATTAATTGTCTTCTTTTACAAGTAGTCTTTTTCTCAGGTGGCTTTTAAAATCTCCTTTTCTTAGGTGTTCTGAACTTTCATTATGGTGTGTCTCTGTATGAACTTTCAAATTATTTCTGCTTGGGGACTAGAAAAATCATTCAAAAATTCACATTGAACCAAATGGGGCCCAAATGGCCAAAGCAATCCCTAAGTAAAAAGAGCAAAGCTAGAGGCATCAGGCTACCTGACTTCAAACTATACCACAGTGCTACAGTAACCAAGACAGCATGGTACTGGTACAAAAGACACATAGAGCAATGGAACAGAACATAAAGCCCAGAAATAAGGCCTCACATCCACAACCATCTCATCTTCCATAAGGCTGACAAGATGGATTAAAGACTTAAATGCAAAACCCCAAAACAATAAACACTCTGGAAGACAACCTAGGCAACACCATTCTGGATATAGGAACAGGAAAATATTTCATGACAAAGACACCAAAAGCAATGGCAACAAAAGCAAAAATAGACAAATGGGATCTAATTAAACTAAAGTGCTTCTGCACAGCATAGGCAACTATCAGCAGACTGAACAGACTACAGATGGGAGAACATTTTTGCAAACCATGTATCTGACAAAGGTCTAATATCCAGCATCTATAAAGAAATTAAACAAGTTGACAAGATAAAAGAAACAACCCCATTTAAAAGTGGGCAAAGGACATGAACAGACACTTTTCAAAAGAAGACATACATGTGGCCAACAATCATATGAAAAGAAGCTCAACGTTACTGATTGTTAGAGAAAGGCAAGTCAAAACCACAGTGAGATACCATCTCACACCAGTCAGAATGGCTGTTGTCCAAAAAACAACAGATGCTGGTAAGGTTGTGGAGAAAAAGGGATGTTTATACACTGTTGGTGGGAGTGTAAATTAGTTCAATAATTGTGGAAAGCAGTGTGGCAACTTTCTCAAAGACCTAAAAACAAAACTACCATTTGACCCAGCAATCCCATTACTGGGCATATACCCAAAGGAATATGAATCATTCTGCCATAAAGACACATGCATGTGTATGTTCACTGCAGCACTATTCACAATAGCAAAGACTTGGAATCAACTAAATGCTCATCAGTGATAGACTAAATAAGAAAAACGCAATGTATATACATCATGGAATACTATGCAGCCATAAAAAAGAATGAGATCATGTCCTTTGCAGCAACATGGGTGGAGCTGGAAGCCATTATCCTTAGCAAACTAATGTAGTAACAGAAAACCAAATTCCACATGTTTTTACTAATAAGTAGGAAATAAATGATGAGAACACATGGACACATAGAAGGAAACAACAGACACTGGGGCCTACTTGAGGGTAGAAGGTGGGAGGAGGGGGAGAATTAGGAAAAATAGCTAATGGGTACTAGGCTTAATACCTGGGTGTTAATAATCTGTACAACAAACCCCTGTGACACAAGTTTACCTATATAACAAACCTGCACATGTATCCCTAAATTTAAAATAAAAATTAAAAAATAAATAAAATTATTTATGCTTCAGAGTCACTGTAGTTTCTTTTTAAAAATTAAAAGAAATTATATTTTAAATTTTTGTGGGTATATAATAGGTATATATTTATGGGGTACCAGAGATGTTTTGATACAAGCATGAAGTGTGAAATGAACACATCATGGAGAAAGGAGTATTTGTCCCTTCAGACATATATCCTTTGTGTTACAAACAATCCAAATATACCCTTGTAGTTATTTAAAAATGTACCATCAAGTTACTCTGTGATTTCTGATATTTTTGCTCTTTCAACTATTATGAACGTTTTCAGCCACTTTCTCTTCAAATATTGCTTCTTTTTTTTTTCTTCTGGAACTCCACTGACATGTATTTTAATATTCATTTAGTCTTCCATGTCACTTTATTTCTCTTTTACACTTACACTTTTTGTGTGTGTTCTGGGCAGTTTGTTCACTTATGTCTTCCAGATTGCTAATTTTTTTCCTTCAGCTGTGTGTAATATGCTATTTAATCAGTTACTGAATTTGACATTTTAATAAATTTATTTTCTACTTCTAGAGGTTTGAGTTTTCAAATCTGACTGAACTTGCCTGATAGAATTTTGTTAATATTTTCAGTTCCACTTTTATTTCTTTAAACCTTTATGTTTAGTATCTAGCACTTCAATTTTCTGACATGTGAGGGTAACTAATTGTACTGTTTCTTTCTCATGGTAGTTTCATCCTTCCATATCTTCTAATTTTGGGTTGAGGGCTTAACTGGAGCAGCAATTTATTTATGGGAATCCTGCAAGACTTTGGTTGAGGGCTGTCTTCATCTGTTGCTGCTGCTATAACAAAATACCTTAGAATAAGTAATTTATAAATAATATGCATTTATTTCTCACAGTTCTAGAGGCTGAAAGGTCCACATTTAAAATGCCAATAGATTCAGTGTCTGGTGAGGGCCCAATTTCTGCTTCCATGATGTGCCTTGAAGACTGTTTCCTCACATGGCAGAAGGAATAGGAGGGAAAAAAGGGCCTTGCTAGTTCCATCCAGGCTTTTTATAAGACACTAGTCCCATCCATGGGGGTAGAGCCCTCACTACTTAAATACCTTCTAAAGGCCCTGCCTCTTACTTCTGCTGCATTGAAGACTAAGTTTCAATATAAATTTCAGAAGGGACACAAGCATTCCAACTATACAAAGGTGCATCCCTGCAGACAGAATTTGCCATTATCCCTGCCAGTCCAGAGTATAACAAATTTTAGATGATTTTATGTTCATTAGTTCACATGGGGTTTACCAGAAGGTTAAATTAAAAAAAAAGCCCCAAATATATAGGATGGCAAGGACCATCATTATGAATTCTTAGAGAAGACTATTTTCCAGCTCCTGGAGCCCAGGTCGAGGCATTTTTTTTTTCTATTGTTATATCTCTTTGCTGGTGGCTAGATTTTCTCCTAGCCCACTGAGACCTTTCAAAAATTCAAGTTCTTCCTGCTTGTAATCCTAGAACTTTGGGAGATGGAAGTGGCAGGATCACTTGAGCCCAAGAGTTTCAGACAAGGCTGAGCATCATAGTGAGACCCCTCATGTCTACAAAAAAAACACATTTACCCAGGTGTAATGGTATATGGTTGTAGTCCCAGCTACTTGGAAGGTTAAGATGGGAGGATTGCTTGAACCTGGGAGTTTGAGGCTGCAGTGAGCACTCTAGGCCAAGGCACTCCAGCCCTAGGTGACAGAGTGAGACCCTCCCCCCCAAAAAAAATCCAAGTTCTACTGGAGGGCTTACTCTTCACCACTCATTAATGTTTGTCCCTTCTTCTTTCTCACGTGGCCACTCAAATCTAAGACTTTGAAAACCAAGCTTGGTAAATGCCATCAGTAGACTCTCAGCATCGCTGTCAGCCTACCTCTCTTGATTTCAATCATCTGTTTTCTGGAGATTTTCTTCCTCTCTGATGAGCTCCTCTGTGACTATTAAAAGATGTTTCTCTACTTCACCCAGCATTCCTAGGTGTTTTTATTGGAAAGTAGTTCAGGAAGTCTAGTTTACTTATTGTCAGACATGGAAGTTTCAGAGGTAACTTTTCCAGTTATGGTTTTAGAAGAAATAGAAAAGAAAAACATAGAAAGTTTTTTTATTTTATTTTCTAGGTAAAGTAGGACAATAAAACACACAATAAATAGATGGGAAAGAATATGAAAAGAATAACGATGTTATAGAGAATACCCACGTGTTCTGCTCCAGATCTCATCTTGCTTCTTGCTCTTCTGCTCAGTACATTTTCACGATCCATAGTGTGCATCCAGCCTGTTGTTTCTAATTGCTGCATAGCACTCCAAAAAGTTTCCTCATCCTCTCATCTACCCACTACAGTAATGGACACAATCAATCTGTGATGAATGTCTCACACTTTTTCCCTTATGAATGTCTGTGAGGATGTTTTAGGTAGATTCTGGGGAACATCCTTGCTAGGTCACGGAGTACAACATATTTAATTTTATTAAATCCTGCCGGATTGCCCCCCAGAACAGACAGCTGCAGTCTAGACTTCCCCCCAGAAGTGCACAAGGGTCCCTATCCATAGCCTCAATGTTTGGTATTACAGAGCTTTCTCATTTTTGCCAGGTGCATGTGGCTTTAAATCCATTTCCCTGATACCTCTGAGTTATACACTTGTTGGCAGTTGCACTTATTTGAAATTCCTTTTTCTATAAATTGTCATCATCGTCTGCCCACATTTCTATTGGAGCTCATTTTCCTTATTGATTTTACTATTAGTGTC